GCGCATGTCGCAATCAGATGCAACTCAATAACTCACAAACGCTTGAATCCCAGGCAGCCCAAGCACCGCCCAAACGCTGCCCAACCACTTGCGGCACTTTTTTGGGAGGCACAGGTGGCCAGAGCTGCTGCACGGATGCTGCCCTCTGCGTCTGGTTCGCTACTTCCTGCGTTGGCAGTCTCCGTGCAGCCTGCTGAGAATAATCGGTTGCAACAAAGATACAGTCACCAACTCCCAGGCCCTAAAAAAACGTTCGAGACCGAATCAGTATTCGTACAAGATTGAATTGTGTGGAGACGTGTGCAGCGGAAGCATGGCAGGGCGGGGCCTTGTGAGAAGGTCAGTTTGCAAGCCAGTCTTAGGCACCTCCCCACTGGTACGAGCTCGTAAAAAGACATTGCTGTTGTCATCCTGTGCCGAGGACGAACGCAGTGGGAGAACTTCATGCAAAGAACCGAGTTCAATTCGTTGAGCGGTGAACAGTGTTTGAAGACTTGCGCGAACCCGACGCACATCTGCACTCGTAGGCAGTCCTTCAAGCCATCAACACTGCACCGCTCCACCTAGCTACGGTCGACCGAGTCAAAGCATTGAGTTATTGAATTCGCTTGTTAAAGCAGCCAGCATGCCGTCTGGACACTGATAATATCAGGGTGGATTGCTCAATGGTGAACTTGGCAAGCCAATGTAGGGAATCACCAAGTCCACCAATGGAGCATCCTCTTGCAAATCGCCCGTCTACGGCTTCGCCTCAAGCTGTTCCAGAAAGCATGCATAAGTGGCAGACCTACAACATCACCTCTCAACGGAGAGTTTGTTTCCGTAGGAGGTGCGAGTTGTTGCTACAACGTGAGACATGAAGAGGGTCAGTTGGCAAAAGCTGGACATCTCAAATGAGTGGCATGAGATAGATGTTACCCGTTGGTTGCAAGCTGCCGGACAAACCGACCCTGCAAGACCCTTGCCGTTTTGGCAAAGGCACATCACATCACATCACGCTCGTCACGCTCGACCTTTGCATTGACCTGGCTTGGTGCTGGGACCCTGGGTTCCGTGTACCCAGTCTGCCTCACTTTTTTGAGAAGCTTGAAAACTTGCTGTTCATCCTAGTTGGCGGGCACGACTGCAGGATGATGCCCCTAAGTTGGACAGTTCCCCACGTCGGTTCTGGTCAAGCCAGGGCCGAAACCCTCGTCCCACCTCACTTGATGATCTGGGGCAGAAGAGGTCCAGGCATTCCTTTCACCGCCACCTGCACAAAGCAAAAGTGGCTGCGAAGGATTCCCCCACTCAAACCCTTTGGGTTTGCATCTTGCAGCACCGGGTGTAGTCACTTCAAGCATCGAATAGTGCCACTTTGCTACGGCTCTTCTCCGTGTCACAGCTTAAGCTTTGGCCGAGTCACCTTTCCGATCCTGCCCAGCGAGGAGCCTGGGAGTCCCCCCGGCTTGAAACCCAGCAGAGTTCTCAACTCGTCCATGTGGCCAGGGCACTCTTCAGCAGTCCAGCCGAGACTGCCAGGTCCGTGGCGGCCGTCGCCATGCCCACATTGGCCAGGGACTTGGACCTTAACGAGTCCCAAGGGAGCCAAGTCTCGTTGCAGTTACAGACGACTGCTAAGTGCTCCACGCAGTCAAGCCAATGCCTCGGCTTTGATGAAGGCCATGACCTCTTCCACCAAGCTGGACCTCGCTCTTGCTTGGCGAAGACAGCGCGATGCTGGTGCCGAAGATCTACTCACAGACCCTTGTTCTCGGGTGCCGAACCAGGCGGTCCATGAGGTTGAAGTGGTTGTTGGCTTCAGCATGCGCCAAGGCCTCAGAGAAGAAAAACTCGGGCAAAGGGCAAACAACGCTATGGCCCATATCCTCATCGCAGGGGCATCAGCAGGAGTGGCATCAGCAGCAGTACTCGAAGTGGCAGTGGTGACTCTGACGATGGCTCTGCTCCGAGCCCATGGTAGTGATCAGAACAAAGCAGAGATCAAAGACAGGAGCAGCGCTCGAGGTGGGAACGGTGACTCTGACTCTGGCGGTGCTGATCAGAACACCCAGATCAAAGACTCCAAAGACGACTGTAGTATATGGGTGCTCAAACAAGAGAACGAGCCAAGCAGGCTGAGGCCTCGGACAGTGTACTCCCGGATGTCCTGTTGGCATAAGCAGTCATGACGTTCTAGGATCATGTTCGACTCCAGCACACCACACTCGAGCCTTGGCATTCATGTCCGCGCCCATCTCCAGAAGCAGCATGCAAGCCTTCATTAGCGTTTCACGACTCGATTTGCACCGAACGAAGGCAGTCGCCCTTGTCCTTGGCCTTGCCTGGAAGTTGCCACCAGCGGCCGCTAAATGGATGGGCGTGCGCCTCTTGTTATCGGCGATGTTGACCTGGAGAGGACAGACACAGCCTTCAGCGGCAATATCAGAAGGATTTGGCCGCCGGGCATCGGCACCCCATTCGATAAGGCGGCAGATACCATCCACCTCAAGCACTTCTCCTCTCCAATCCCAGGCGGCAAAGACGCCACCGAGCTGCAGACGTCGTTGTACTGGGCAGCCACGTGCAAGGCCGTCCTTCCAACGCGCTTGACCATGTAAGGTAGCGAGGTCTGCGATACCGATGCATAACTTCAGCAACCACCTGTGCAGAAAACGAAGCTAATCTGGTGTGGGTCCTCCCTTCTGCATCTGCAGAATTGATCTTGACGCCGTAAATGTGCAAAAACCTCATGCAGGACATCTCTGCGGACTCTTGGTATATCCTATTTTGGATCTGTGACGGCTTATGCGGAACGAGTGCTACAGTCAGAGATGACATGCAGCAGGTTCGGCGGATCTCGGAGCGGCGCTCCATCATATCGTAGCGCTTCGCCCTAGTCACGATGTTGAAAGCCTTAGCCACATGCAGGCACATGTTCCACTTCCCGACATACCAGGAACATCGAAAAGCATTCCATTGAAAACCTAAGGGGCTCGTGCTGGTTCGTGCATATGCTACGGCCCCACTCCGAATTCAACTCGCATTACCTAGGGAACATGTCTGTTGCATTCTTTGGTAGTCGATGCTATTCGCACCGACAGCAAGCGGAGTTTAAAACCTCACAAACAGAACTGACTTGAGAAGAGGGTGACGAAAGCCAGGGAAGTGTAGCAGGGAGCGAATCTGCTTTCAACACGGCACTGCGAATCCCGTGAGTGTGGCGGAGGCTTGGCAGTGGACAAATGAAAAATGTCCTGGGAGTATTACCATGTTATGTGCTCAGACTGGTCGAGGCAGCAAAAAAAATGCTAAATACTGACAGTTGTTGCGAAATCAGTAGCATTTCGAAACAGAAAGCTGCTTGGCATGTGCCGGCCCGAGAATGCCCCATGCACCGGGTGCCGCAAAAGTCGTAACATGCAGCTGGCGGTGCAGTTGCAAAGTTCGCTGGCTCACGGTGCAGAAATTCAAGTTGTCAGAAAGCGCAACCTGCATAGCTAAGAAGGTGCTCGCGTCATATCCTTGGAGAAACTCTACACTCTGCCGCCATTTGCCCTTGAAACTGCTGCTGGAAATTAGTACCGATCTTCTTCGAATCAGTCATTTCAGGGGTGCGTTGGGGGGGCTCCACCCGAAAACGACCCGAACCGACCCTTTCACCCGTTTGCCATGCTGAGCCTCGCGCTGTCTCGCCTTTCCGGGTCTTGGCCATCAGCTTCGCGCCTCGACGGTAACAGAGCTTCGCCAGGCCTCGGGGGCTTGCAAGGACAGAACAACTAAGTGTCACTACAGCCGCCCTAACCTGCTGTGCCGTCTTTCTACGCTTTGGCTTCTAACAGGAACACAACGAATGGAGTCTAAACAAGATGGAGAGAGAGAGAGAGAGAGCAGTCCCTTCTGATCGACAGCTGACGCGTGAATCGCACTGGGCCACCGGCCAAGATTTCCCGTTGTGCATGCGAACCTGAGCATACACTTCCCACGACTCTGATCCTGTGGGTACAGCATCTCCAATTACATGTGCAGGCTCTTCTTCGGTCGTACATCAAAAAGACTGTGACCGGAGCTCAAGCAGCGTCATGTTGGACTCCACCTGAGCTAAGCTTACTGGAAACTCCACAAGTTGGAAGACGGAGCTTGGGCAGGCAAGAAACATCAACAGCATCAATGTCCGTGTTCTCGAGAAGCCGCTCCAGCATGTTCATGAGGACAGTCCCGGTCCTGCAAAAAGCGAAAGACTTACCCACCATCACTTGGTAAATTAGACTACCGGTTCGCGATCCACGAGGTGCCGGGCAGCTTCTTCTGTAGCTGGATATATATATATATATATGTATATATATATATACATACATATATATATATATATATTAGGAGACCTTATGGCACTAGGGCAGAGTCGGCCTGCTGACGATCTGCTTCAGGTTGAAGGACTTTGCCTTCTCCTGAGAAAGGGCTCGAGGTGAAGGACTCACTTCAAGAAGATCCTCACGCTCTTAGGCATGGGGAGGACTCCAAACCATTTGTAATGAAAGTGTAGAACAAAAGAGGGAATGAAGTGAGTGCCTAAACGTTCAGCCTACCACAGCAACGGTTGGAAGTGTGATTAACGGGTGAATCAACATACATGGATGGGTTGAGCGACTGCAGAAATGTGCAATAAGGATTTTGGAGAACCATGCACGGAGCCTCCGCTTTTTACACATGTCTGCACATTTTTACACTTTGCTCTGCACTCTTTGCCTGGAGAACTTGAGGAACATGAGGTTTTCCTCTAATCCAGGATAAGGGCTGGAGGGGCTGGAAACAGTGTGAACACAGTGTTACAATGTAACACTTGGTTTTCACTTTTTTACAACTAATGTTACACTGTTCAGAGCTAGCCATCTTCATGTACACTTTGCTTACCATTTACGAGTCTTCTGCATTCACCGTTGCACCCTGCTTTCCACTTATCACTTGGGGCTATCCAACGTTAAGAGGACAAGACTGCATAACACTAATCAATCACTAACAAAAAATCGGAAGATGAGCTGAAACGGCTCCAGTCCTCCATGTCGGCAGCAAAATGTTGCCTTTCTGTGCCGGAGATCCCCAGGCAAGGCCGTCAAGCCCCCCCTGAAAACACCCCGACGGTCTCCTTCACTGGCTCGAAGGCGCTCTTCAAGTCAGCAAAGGGGTCAGAAGAGACCTGTGAAGACGCAATGCGAGCTGAGCAAGCTCGAAGCCCTCCGAGCCTTTGGTTCGTCCTGGAGTGGCTCTGATGATGCCGCCTTCTGCATCTTCTTCTGGGACGGCTGCCGCCTTCAGCAAACGCCGGCACTAAATACTGGAAACTTGCTGCGCCAGTTTGAGTGTACAGAGTGGATCTTTGCACAAAGGCTGCTGCTTGAGCTTCGTCTTCTCCTTGGGAACTCTTGCTAAAGCTTGCAACTTATTCCGCTGAACAAGAGCGCACAGCGAGCTCTCGGTCCATGGCCACTGCAGCTACTGGTGAGCTTTCCTGGTCAGACAAGTGGGCACGGACGGAAGAAAAGCAATGGAAAGCATGTGGTCGTTTTTGTGCATTTGGGCCTGAACACTCCGCCGCACGTTGCTTGCCGACTGCGATCCTGCGCGTTGGGCGCCCCGTAGCAGCACACTTTAACGGCCTATAACAGCTCTGGGTTCCGAACCCACCGTGTCGGGACGCACGGCCTGGGCCTCCGCGCTCACGTCCGGCAGTCGAGGTCTAACACAAAATCTCCGAGTAATTTTGGCCTGGTATATCATCGCAGGCAGGAGAACGACGTTCGCCGTCACAGCCTTCGCCTCCTGCAGGTTGCAGCTGCGCAAAGTCTTCTCAAACAAGTCTCAAGGCATGTTCTCCGACCTTGCCGAAGGTCTCGTCAGCCTCTGATCACAGGCTCTGCGAACGCATCTCACGAGATGCAGGCCCTCTTGTTGGTGAAAAGATGTGAAAAGCAGTGGCTTGACCTCATCCTGACCTCAAACCCGATGACACCATCCGTCCTGAACCCTTTATACCCTGGACCCTGCACCAGGTGCATGTCGGGTCTGGAGGGCTACAATATGCACTGCGGTGCCTAAATGTGGGGTCTGCGGGCTTGATGGTTTGGAGTCTCAAGTGCAAGGTGGAGTGAACGGCCGCTTCGACGCTGATAGCGAGCATAAGCTACAGTGATAGGGCGTGGGACCCTTGACGGCTTCGGCCTGAACGCCTGTGGAACCAAGTCCTACTTGCTAATTTCCGTATGCCCCTTTTTGCAATGCTGCACTCTTGAATTACCATTACGCCTGCCAGCTTTGCTGCCAAAATGTCTTCCGAGCAGCTGCCAACAAGAGGATCTTCATGAGGGCAGTGTCCATTTTGTGGAGGGTGACCTTCCATTTACAGGATCGTTGCTCCCGAGACTGCCAGCGTTGCAGTCTCTTGACACGACTGTAACTTTTCAGACACTTCGGAGACGACACCAATTGCCCATTGCTGTCAAGTCTTGACTGGGCCTTGTCCATGCTCTGAAAGGCACACTCCTCCACAGTTGTGTTCTTCCTCGGATGAAATCCCTGGAAGAGCCGCGCAAAGCGCTGCATCTCGACTTTCTGACATGACTCCGTATCAAGACGTCGTCCGGTAAGGCACTGGCACTTGTGGATGCTGTGTGTCGTGAAGAAATCTCCTCAACATGGATAAGCTGCTCAGGCTCACAATGCAGCTGTGCTCTCGGCTTTCACCTACCCAAGGCCGATTCCAAAGCGACCTCATCACGTGACTGGCCTGGGTCGTGCTCTTCGAAGCACACCGCACGAGCTGTGGACATAAGACATGCTGCAAGTAAACCTCCTACTTGGACAGCACAGAAGACTCCATCATTGCGGCATGCATGCGCGAGGCACAAGACATCACAAGCCGGCTGTGAACCCAGCAAGGTCGATGGCAGGAGGAGACGTTAGAGCCTTGCCAGAAGGCCTTAGCTAAACAGCCCACATGGAGTAGCACCCTGGTCCCACAAAACCTTCAACCGGTGACCAGGCCCTGGGTCAACGGCGATTGAGCTGCCTCCCTGAGCTTAGCCACAAGCTCCTGGCAGGAAAACCGAACACTAGCTCGCACACTTGTGGTCTCGGGTTGTTGGCACAGGCCTGAGGGCCATTGCCTTTGGCACTGAGATGTGGGGAGGTAAGCTGCTCGGTTGCAGCCTTGACTCCCTGTGCCCATCCGGCATGAGAGGCGCCGGAACAACACTGCACGACGGCCAAGAGGACGTTGACAGAAGCTCTGGTGCAGCAGCTCAGTAGATATCAGCTGGTCTCCAAAGCCGCAGGACATGTCTTTGTCCATGCTTTTCCCATCGCTTCTCTGCCGAAGCTGTCGATACGAAAAGAGTCGAACCCGTTGTCCTTGACGGCAATGTCGAAAGCTATTGCAACGAGAAAGCTTCCAAAATAAGAAGCGTAGCACGACCCTGCTTTTGACAAGCGGCCGCGGTTTGGATAAATCCTATACAAACACTGAAATGCAACAGAGCCGATCGTGAGTATGTCGCAAGCATGCTGCGTCGAGCAGCTTTGACTTACAGTTTTACCCTACGGATCCTGCGGATTTGTGCTCTAGTATGAAAAGCTTCCGAGGTTTGCTGTTGCTGAAAGGCTCCGCAGAGCAATTCAGCGGAAAGCCTGAAAGAAAAACAAGCAAATGGCTTGAATTCCGAAGGCTGTATGATGGCCGTGACTTGTCAGCTGCTTGTGTAACGAACATCGGCACAACGATGAACACCGGACAAAAGCAGCATATGCACGGAATGAGCGAAGTTGCTGAAAACTATTGCATTCGGTCCCTCTGTTCACTTTTTCCTCAACGCTTGAGCGGGGATAAGGGTGTTGGGTTCCTGCCCTGTCACCTTCTTTCTGCCAGCCGTGCCCCGGGGATGTAATGAGGCTCAAAGCGCCCCTCAACATGTACTTACAAAAACTTGCAGTGCCATTTTTCTGGCCGATTTGCGCATGCCAAAGGCTTAGACCTCCTGCGCTGAAGCCTATGGAGTGTCAAAGCCATAAAAACTCGATGGAATCTCGACCACCCTGTCCTGGGGTGGCGCTTGCGCTAGGGCCATCTGCAGCCCCTCGTTGCCTTAGAAAGGAGACAAAACTGCACCGGCTGAACGACTCAGCAAATCAAGCTTGAAGCTGTGCCTTGCAGATCGAGGAGGTCGAGTGGCACCAACCTGTCAATCCGGGCTCAGTGATGATATAGCAGGACGGCACCACAGCAACAGCATGAAGAAGTAGTAGCTGCATGAAGCTACTTCGAGCTGCGTTTCGAGAAACATGGGTCGGTCATGCGCGCTGTCGCACGACATCGGCGCCTCTTTGTGGTCTGCCTCTCCATGATGGCGGTCATGAAGTAGCCTACCTTAGCGAGTATCTGGGGCCAGGCGGATAAGCATCACAAGAAGGCACGATACCGAGACACTCACGACAAGTGCTCACAAATAGAGACAAAAACTGCGGGAGTAGATTGGAAGGTACGAAGGAATGCCGAGGTCGGGTTCGGACAGGCAGAGTCGGAGCCCAAATCGAAAATAGCTGACACCCAACGCGAAGCGCAAGCGCTTCAAAAAGGCGGTTTCCCATCTGCTGCTGAACCCTAAAAGAAGACCCAAAAACACAAGCTACCATGACCTGCCATGTAGACTCGAGTCATGTTTCGTGAAATGCAAGCACCGCTTGACACACGAGGCTCCCACGCAGCGAAGACTGAGGAGGTTCTCGGCCAGGGAGATGAAGGACAGGCACGGCCTGCTTTTGCTGCGAGATTCAAGCACAGAACGAGCACTCTGCGGAATCCGAAGCAGAAAGGTGACTTCTGGCCACGGCCGACTGAAGTGTGGAGCTCTGGTCCCTCGTTTCGTAGACTGAGAGACCAGCGCAGTCGTGATGAGCTGGCAAATGTCCGAGCAAGAGTCCTGCAAAGAGCGTACAAGAGCTTTGGCTTGAGCGTACCATCCACGTCTCAATCATGCCCGCGGTCCATTGTCAGAAGATTTCGCGACAAGTCCAGTGTCTGGAGCGAAGGGCAATCAACCAGCGCCTGTGCCTGAGGACCGCTTCGCGCTTGCATTCGACCCTCGCCCAGCGCGACTCAAGGAACTGTCAAGAGGACGTCGTTTCACTGCGGTGCGCACCAGCGTTGCAAAGGCCAAGTCGTTGATGGCTGCGTCTCGAAGGAGCGCCTCGGCTCAGGGCGAGAACACTGCTGCGCCGCGCCTCAGCTCCTTCTCAGCTCCGGGCCTGTTGGATGTCTTTGAAGCGCATCCAATGGTCCACGACCTGAGAGTCGAGGCGAGTCAGCACATGGTTCGAAGCACTCACGGCAGAGGCTGCCACTCTCATCAGCTTCGTGGAGACCTGGCTGGTCCTCTCCCGCCTGGGCGCCCAGGCCGCGGCCCGGCCGGCAACGGCAAAAGCACAGCAACCGGCGCCCTGTGCAGTTCGCTTCCACTCCAGCCAATGGCCCAGCAAACAACGGCTCCTTGTCAAATGCAGTCCAAGGCGCGATCTTTCTTCCTGCACAAAGCGGTGCGCAAATGCTATCCACATCACCACATCCGCAAAATTGCTTTCTGACTCTGCATGTCTGTCTGCCATTTATAATTTGTGTATCCATGGAATTCAGGTTGATGTGAACCCGCACCTCCGCGATTCCTAGAGTTGAACGCACATGAAAAAGGAACCAAAACTTCGTTGCTCACCAACACGCAACCCGTCTGCCGCTGCGAAAGCGCTTGTGTCTTTCTGGAAAGGCTGCAAACACAAGGAGGCCCACAACTTAGCCACGGTAGCTCCATTTTCATGTTGTGCGTTCAACGACTGCAGCTCGCAGTCCTCTCCAGAAGCGCCGGCAGAGCCGCTGGCCTTGCAACAAAGGACGGATACTGCTGAAAGGTCTACAAGTACCGAGCAGTCAAGAACCCAAGCCAACAGCTTCATGCGAAGAGGAAATAATGAGCTGCTGGCGGCTGTTCCGCCCGCGGCACCTTGCAAGTCGCAGCGGCAACACGTCCCGAGCTGTTGCGGCCGGCGGAGCCCTGCCGACGCTTTTGCTATCCAGCTATAGGGCAAATCAGAATAAAGATCGACGGGATACTGCAAGCCCTTTTAACATGTGCAAAACCTGAATACTTAAGACCGCGCGGACACCTCATGCGACAATGTTCCCCAGGGAAGATTGCAAAAGCTGAGGGACGTGCTGCCCATGGAGAGCTCCTCGTGCACAAGATCACATGAAGGTACTGCATCCGAGGCTCCACCGTATGTCTGACATGCTTCCTTGCATCCCACTTGCTCTGGAGCGAGGAAATAGAGGCGAGAGACGCACAGCGAGCACGCTTGGCCGCACCCCCGAAAATCCTGCAGCTTCCGCTCCAAGCGATGAGTTTCGCCCACCACCTCTCGCGGACACACGTGAAACGATTCTCTGCCATTCGCCCTCAATAGCACTCAAATCAGAATCACGTGCAGAAATCCGCGACACTTAAGGAATGCTGCCTGATCTTTGGCCGTCACCTCGTCGTCCAGTTTCCGCCTCGCAAGAGTTAGCAAAATCATACTTTGTGAGTCGTCTGTTCTGCTTTACAGCGCATTCTTATTCTTTTCGAAGAGTTGGAAATGAGACTTTGAGAGTTTTGGCCGTACCGATAGCGTGTGCTGCTGGTTCAAGAAAACAGCGTTTCCAACTTTCCAATAGCTGGAAACCACAGACGTTGAAGGTTTGGTTCTGTATTGGTCTGTCTGGTTCCTCGGATACTTGTGTTTCTCGTCTCCGCACATCGAATACCAGCGACCTAGATCCCGTCACGTTCCTACCCCCATGATGGATGCGCGGAAAGTGTGCCGGTGGCCTGTTGTGGACAGAACAACATGGAGGACACTGTCACTGGTCTTTCAGATTGGAGGTCTTGCTGTAAGCGCAGCTATACAGTTTATCACGACGAGGCTCTAGATGCAAGAGTAAAACAAGCAGAGCTGTAAGGGTCCGGACGTCAGCGTGACCATCTGCATCTTCATCTTTTCCAAACTGAGTGTGACGCTTTTGCATGCTCTGCCCCTTGTGCATACTGCTTGCGCCCTGGGCAGGGAGGGATTCTGAGCCTGTGACTCCGAGGATTTCTCCCGATTCAGCTCGGCCTTCCGCGAGATCAGGTACGAGTATGGTGAGATGGGAGCCGCCTAATGGTTCTGAAAGCCCAGCCCGCCTCCCGCTCAGCGATGGACCGCTCGCCACGAACCTGTCACGCGAGGGTCACAGGCCGTGTTCCTGCAACGGCAACGGCCGTGGGACCGTGGGACAGAGTGCCCTTGCCCACTGTGTACGCTCTGCATGCAAACTTTCAAGGTCTTCGAAGCGTCTCGCAGGCAAGTGTATGCATTGAAACTCACACCCTGATCCAGAGATCGTTGCTTTGCGCTTTGCGTCACAGACACTTCCTTTTCCAATGTGGCCTGCATTTCCAGGCGCTGTTTTTCCCTCTCATGCTTCTCCTGCCACATGCAGCACGCACAAACAGCTATGGTCTGGGTGCGTTCCGAGCGATATTGGAAAGGCCTTGAGAGCCAAGACCTCTTGCTTTAATCGCTCGTTCTCCTGCGATGACAAGACTTGCAGAGTCGAAAGCATCTGTCTATCGAAACACTCTCCTGCCTCGCTAATCCTTGCCAGGACATCTGGTGGAACTACCTGCCACAGGATTGCAGCGGAGCTTAAGGCAACCCATGGCTAGCAATTATCTGGGCCTCGTCTCCGTCTGCCATGGCTCCGTTATTCTATCGTATGCGATACACACAAAGACACATACTTTTCTGAGCAGCTCTCTGGCAGGGTTGATGCCAGTTGCTGTGACAAGGTGTATAAGGGGCTCTTGGACGAACTTGTCACTAAGTAGAAAAACATGTTCTTTTCGAGCAGCGGAAAGAAGAGTATGAGATGCATACTCTGAGCACAGCACACAGTCACGGTACAAGTCTGTGGCCCAGCTTCGCTCTACTCCCTGAACATTCATGGGGGCCCGGAGCGTCCTTGCACATTTTGCCGATGGCCGGGCCCTGCCAAAGGATTGCAAGCAAAGCATGTGCGTAGCGAAGCGCTTGCGTTGTCATGTTGGCTTGCTTCCTGTCTGCCAATCATCTAGGTCCCTCCTCCCTCATGAGCGCGTCCTGATGGCTGTCGGTCGGGCCTTGGCCTTCTTTGCTGCCGCACCGGCAGTAGACGCAGCTGGGCGCTTGGCAGGGGCCTCCAAGATCTTGCGGCTAGGTCCGAAACCCTCGCGAAGCTCAATCTGCTCCGCAAGCCAATACAAAGTGCTAGTTGACATGCAGGCTCATGACTGAGCACCGCACCATGGTTCCAAACCTTCAGCTCGCCAATCGAATCACACGCACATGCTCGCACTTGTTTACATGCCTTGCAATCACATCACGACACCTGAACATCAGAAACGAACAGCTCTGCAGCCTGTGAGTCCCAGGCAAAGAGATGCGAAAAAGCGCAAAGAGGGGCGGGCCGCGTGCTTTTTGTTGGACCAGAACGCCATGCGACACAAGCATGGTCAACCTGCATAACGCAAAATCGAAGTGTTTCGGAACGGTTGGTGCAATGTCTCAGCGACATCCACACATCTCTTGTTGCTGCAACAGAAAAGATGCATGTGCGACGATGCTGCAAGACAGTACCTGAAGCTCCCTTCAACATACTCACATTCAAAATATATAGTATGTTGTAACTGGAAAAGGCACCATAACGCGTCACCAGTGTTTGATGACGTGCGCTCTGCATGCAGCTGATTGGAAAACGACAGGCTATTCCAAAGCGCCATCAGGCTGCGGCCATTTTCCACGTGCGCCGGTCTGCACGTCCGAAGCATGTGTGGCCAGCCCACCTGTCCAACAGCTTTTGGTTTCAAAACCCGTGACTCTGTCAGTGCACCCGCCTTCGACATGTTGTCGAAGCGCAACGGCGTTCCACATGGCACGGCAACGGATAAACCTGGGGCCAGTCAAGCACCGGTCCGGAAAGGGGCGAGGGATGTTACTTGAAACTGCTAACGAGCGTTGAAGCAGGCATAAGCAGGCCTGCAGAAGTTAGCCTTGTCAGACTGCCAGGCATCCCCTCAACGGAAAGTCTCGAAGTCCCAGGATCACAGCCCAAACTTTGCGTGGGATGTCGAGCCGGGAGAAGACGACTGATGTCAGAGCAGCCTTGGAACCTTCAACCCCCAAACTAAACGCACAGAAACCAGAAGTGGAGTGCGGCTGTCTTGTACTGAGACTGCTTACCAACAGTATCAAGCCTCGCCCAACCTGGAAAAACTCCTTGCTTCTTTGAGCCTTTCGCCCATCACCCCGTGAGAACCGGACTGTGCTGCTTCAGGGGCACCTCTCGCAGCGTGGACCTAAGAAACGCGGCCAAACCTTCTACTCGGTTGCATGACATGCAGCTAGGGGCCCTCCACAGTGACTGCGGCATAAAGGCTTTAGGCAGACTTCACTGCAGGGCTGAGGCCGCCGCACAACGTAGTTCGAAGGCTCGGAAGAATCAGAGCCGTCGACAGCCTTCGTTGCACTGAATTGTCCTGATTGTAGAATTAAGCATACCACGGCCTGATACGGCCTGCATGATCGCTTCTACATCGCCGGCCACGGAGCAGTCCAAGTTCTGAAGACCACCTGGCAACTGAAGGCAACGCTGAGCACCCATATGGACCATCGAACACTGCGATTGCTGCGCTACGATTGTGGAACACTCGCACTTATTGGGCCTGCCAGGCCAGTGCCCAAAGACTTTAGCCACGCTTCCTTCTTTGTCCACATCTCGAAGAAGCGTTGCAGCATGTCATCCTAAGGACCCGAAGCAGCCCTTCAGTTTTCCTGCTGCCTGGAGAGGTAATTATCACAAGAGCTGTCGTGAGCTGTCCGTCTCTCGTAGGCCCCCTGCTGGATTGGAGGATGCCTGCTCCAAAAGCAAGACTCCACGATCACTAGGCATAGGCCCTATCCCAAACGTCCCCTGTATTGGGGAAGCTCTCATGTCGCCTGATCCAAAGACTCCACCTCAGAAGATGTGAAGAAGCGTTCGGCCAGTCTCCGGAACGGCCTTTGACCATGACATGACTTGAAGCTAAAGGCTGTTGGGCTCCTCCCACCGTGAGAATGATCAGTTCGCCTGGGCCGATGCAGCTCGAGGTCGACACCGACAGGCGCAGCCAGGCATCCTCCATGGTCCAAGACGCAACATGGCTTCGCATCAAAGGCCGTCTCGGTAGCATTACATCCTGGCTCCGACTGCTCGGGCATGAACAAAAGGAGCGCCCCCACCTTTACAGATGTTGCTTGCACGAACACGGTCGAAATCTAGCAGATTCTCAGCTTGGCTCCCTTCGGATATACAAAAGCAGAGCTGGATTGGTTGGTCTGTACGTATGGCAGCCTCCCCAGAATGCGATACGCTGAAACTGCAGCGCTGCGCAGCCAGAGGAGCTGCCAAAGAAGGCCTCAATCCAGCCCAGTTCCGCTGCCCAGGTACAACTATCGTGCAACACGCGCAGAGTTAAGCCCGCAGCTTGCCGTGCATGCCATACTGAAACTTGATACTCGTTGCATCGAGACCTGTCACAGGCGCGATGGAAGGCAGAGAATTCACCTTCGAAAACTGCCCCAGGCCACCCAAGTGTTCTGCCAGCATGCATCGCAAGGAAGCTCGCATCCAAACCTCAGCGCTCCCAACACTTCGTTTGCGGGGAAGACTTCTCCTGGAGGCCGCCTGAGGCCTGCGAGGCACCCGCAAATCTCTTCCGAGCACCGTCGGAGCTGAAACTTTCAGCTCGATGTCTCTCATCCGAACCTCGGACAAAACTCGCAAGTTCCGAGATTAAGTCGAGCGACACCGAGTTGCGACGAATGCCCTGATAGAGGTGTCGGGGAAATCAGGGTGGGTTGCTGCAACGAAACCTTGCCCACTTGGCCAAGCATCTTGGGATTAGCTTTGTGATTCGAGTTCAAGCATGCACATGTCTCGATGTTGCAGACTTGGTAGATGTAGTGCAGCTGGTGCACTGTACTGTCGGAGCCATGGCAAAAGCCTGCAGCCCTGAAACATCTCGGCACCTCACTCAACAGATCCATTTGCTCTTTTGGATCCTCGCCCAAATCCCACACGAGACACACCGTAGCACCTGAGCGTGTATGCATGCGTATGTAGCCTCGCACCACTCGGGGAGGAAAGAAATGAGCCAAGCGCTTCCAGCGTCGTCCTTCTTGGCAACGGCCTTGTATGACAAGACATTCTTCAACGGTTACTTGACCATGCTTCCGGTTACTGTCATTCGCAAAGTCTGCCGCGACCTGTTTGTGGAGTCCCTTGACAAGAACAGTTCTGAGTTTGTGGTAATGTGCCCGC